AATCCGTCCACGTTTATATTCTCCATACCGATGAAAAATTATCGACTAATGTGGTGCTTCATTGCCGAAAACAGAAACCAAGTTGGTAAGGTATTCTTGTTGAGACAACTGACTTAGAAAATTGTCAAAAATTAGTGCGCGAAAATGCTCGGCTTAATTCCATTTTTCGAGTGACTCTTCAAATTAAAAAATTCAGTTTAGGTTTTCAATGAAGGGGTCTAAAACTTTGACATTAAGTTAAATAAAGATGACAATTGACAAGTTAATTGTGACTTTTGATATATGCTGACAGGCGCCTTCTATGTTTTTATATGCAAAAGAAAACCCTCGTATCCAAGGATTATATCTACAAATAATATCCTTGTGGTTGCATTTGGATACTGCTAGTAGTGGCCCAACAAACTGTCGAGTTTACCCTTGATTGCAAATTTAATCGAGATCTCCTTATCTTTGACTATCTATAGGTTATAAAGGATTCTTTGAGGATGTTACATCTTTGCAAGTACTTATTACACCACACATTTTCTATATGCTGCCTGAAAATGTACCACCGAGAAATCGAGATATCACCAAGTAATTGTTACTGATGAAACCCATTACTTCTTCATGAGCTTTTCCAATCTTTTGTTCTTGAGTTTCGAAACTTCGATACTAGACTAGACAAATCCGAAATATCTAACTAATTTCTCACCGTTTACCATTGGTAACTCAGATCAAAATAAAACACTAAATCACCACAATACACCGAAACACTTTTACTTTTACACTGGATGCGCGTTTCGCTAACAATGTTAGCATCATTAGCAGATGATCAGTCTTGATCATCTGCGAAAAAATGTTTTGGTGTATTGTGGTGATTTAGTGTTTTATTTTGCTGTGTAACACCAAAGGTTCCAACCCGTAAATGTAACTCAGATAATTCGGATTCTTAGAGTCGTCACTTCCAAAACCAAAAAAACCGAATAAAATAATTTCTTTGTATAATGAACAGTTATTCATTCACACATACTTTTTTGTTTCTAAACAAATCATTTTTTTTTCGTCTAAACAAATCTATTTAAAATATTTAAATCCAGCTATAACGTACTGTTCTCGTTACAGATAGATTACTAGTTCTAATTCTCGTTATTTCAGTTAATATATGCAGATTTTGAGGTAAAATATTATCGCAAAACATTTTACATCAACCCAAAAATTAGTCTGAAAATTGGATACGCCCTATTATCTTATTACGAAGTAATTAAAAACCACTCATTCTAGCCAACACTATCAAATACGGCCCTTATAATCACGGACAACACTCTCCGTCACTGATTGGAATTGGATATTGTTAGTTCGCTATTAGGACGTAATTTTCCCAGTGAACGGCTACAGATGCTCATTCAACTAACTACAATGCACATTACTAATATTATTTGAGATATAGGATTGGGCTTTGTTCCATGCACTAGAATAGTATTACCATAATTTGTGGAATTGATTTCGGTAAAGAACAAAAAGATATTTAAAATACTTTAAAAATTTTAATTTTAATAATTTACATTTTACAGAATTTTCACACATTGCATTGATCAACATTTTTTTGGATGTAATCTATTAATCGATAATCTAATTTTTTAATTTTTTCTAAAACGGAATGGAAATTTGGAAAAGTATAAACGAAATTAAATTATTAAGGTGCCCGGTGGCGTAGAGGTAAGGTAGTGGGTTCGATTCCCACACCCGGCATTTCATCAGCCGACTATTTTTATTAAAATAAAAATAGTTTGGGTACCTAGGCCGACTCAGCCTTAAATGAGTACTTGGGATTCACAATCCTGAGGTAATAATAGGCGGTTGAAGCGTAGTGCTAGCCACATTACCTTCCTTGTATACCGAACGGCTCTAGTATGGCAAGCTGTACCTTGCTACTCCCAAGGCGTTAAACGCTATATACGGGAGCTATTATTATTATATAAACGAAATTAAATTATTAAGGTGCCCGCGGTGGCGTAGAGGTACAGGCTCTCAAATACGAATCTCAAGGTAATGGGTTCGAATCCCACACCCGACATTGCATCAGCCGACTATTTTTATTAAAATAAACATAGTTTGGGTGCCTAGGTCGACTCAGCCCTTAATGAGTACTTGGGATTCACAATCCTGATGTAATATTAGGCGGTTGAAGCGTAGTACTAGCCACATTACCTTCCTTGTATATCGAACGGCTCTAGTATGGCAAGATGTACCTTGCTACTCCCAAGGCGTTAAACGCCATATACGGGAGCATTATTATTATTATAAACGAAATTAACCAAACAAGATTTTTTTATAAAGAATTTTTCTTTAAATGGTAATATTAAAAAAGAATTTCCTCTTGTAAAGATGATCCTGGGACATTGTAGATCGTAGATGCATGGGAGTGGGGGATGTTAATAACCGCGACTTTATAGATCTACTGTGTCCCCCTTTCTTGAATTATAACTCGTCTTACATGGCTTTGACATAAGCCAATATCTAAAGGCGCATTCTCACGAGTCGTGTACTTGACAAACATTTGTTATTGAAATATACTCGCCATGTCGTGAGAACGGTTTCCTTGGTCACTCGTCGCGTCCCCACTTTCTGTCCGTAAATATTGCTCGAGTCAAAAGCTTTGTTCGGGTTCTTATTATTACCGATTCTGAACCGTCCTAGAACTAGGCAGCGCATGAACAAATTTAATAATTTCTTTATATGTCCATCTGCCCATCTGCGCATGAGTCACACACAGTTCTAGGACGGTTCAGAATCGGTAATAAAAAAACCCGAAGTAAGCTAAAGGGATAACAATAATTATTCGTACATTTGCCAAGTGTACTTGGCCAACCTTGTCTATACTTGACGAAGCGCAAAAAAACGACTGCGCAAATAATTGTGCTGTTATAGAGTATTTCCAGTTTATTTCCGAATCGTAGTGTTTTTCGAATTAATTGCGGATAATTTAAAACGTCAAAACAATAGTATATTATATAATATCAAATTTACATTAATAACTTCAATATTGGCGACATACCTAAATGGTTCTCACAGCAATAAATGGAGTGGACAAATGAAGACTACACGGGCAAAACCAGATATGTCACATTTTCATCGAAATAAAGATAGCGATACAACTTTATAGACAAATGTTAACGTCATTCGAGAAAAAAGAAAGCAATAATACGCTTAGTCCCAGAGATATTACAGCTTGGTTATTTTGCCGTACAAAGGAAAAACCAGAGTAGTCCACGCGTAAATGGCAAAAACCAGAGATGTACTTACGCATGAGCGACCAGCATGCATTTTGCAATTCGTATTATATGTTATAAATTTATGTATTGTAATAAAAACCTACTTAAATATTAATTTACATCCTACAACAAAAAAATACTAGTTTAGATTTAGGTTTTATACAACTTTTAATTGGACATCCCTGGTTTTCCCCTGTTTTGTTTTGCATTTTGCAATTTTTATTTCGGTATTCCAGAATATAACGATAACTCACAATATGAATAATTCAGAAATGGTAGTAATATATATTTTTTCTAATCATTCAACCGAAAATAGCATATTTCTTTAAAAACACTAAATTGCATTTTTCTCGGCTCCAATTAAAATGGATAAAACTGGATTTTCCTCTGTAGTCTTCAAATGATGTTGCTTTGGAATTTATGGATTTATACGAAAATGAGCCCTTCATATGGATGGCCAAACATAAAGAACATAGAAATCGTTTGCAGTGTACAGTAAAAGAACTTAAAAAGAAAAAAGAATCACCAGCAACGACAACTTCGGGACGACCGGTATCCATCGATGCGACTACACTGTTTACTTGCCAAGGATTTAAACAATGTTTGTGCTGGCGTACTTGTTGAAATGGACACGTCGTGTGAGCGCCACACTTGTTTACAAAGTGGGGACTGGTGGGGATAATTGCCAACTACGCAAATATTGGCGTACTTGCCAAGTGTCGTGAGAGTGCGCCTTAAGACGGTTATACAGAGGTTAGTTCCCCATCTCCGATATCAGTCGTACCAAAGTTTATGGCACGGGCAGTTGTCGTCTTGGCGCAATCAGCGATCATATGTTCTGGTGTTTCCCCAATCTCCCCACAGAATCTGCATTCGCCGGTTTTTCTTAGCTTTAATCTAATCAGGTGTTCCACTGAGGAAACTGTGTCCTGTTAAACTCCCCGTGATAATCCAAGGATTGTTCTTACTTAAATCAAGAAAAATCCTTGATTTTTCTGGGTCGTAAGTCCTGAGGAACTTTTTCGAGTGTCTTAGATCGGTTGCAGGATTCCCATTCCCACGTAACGGATGGAGTCTTCCAAGTTCTTCAGTTCTGCTTTTAGTTGGTTTTTACATGAAAAGCAGACCGGTTCTGGTCCAGTTAGTGCAGTGTTCGCTCCTTTTCTAGCTAGATCATTTGCTTTCTCATTACCTTCTATCCCTTGGAGAGCTGGCACCCAGATTAGGAGGACTGTTTTCTTTACCTAATTTGTTCAGCTTCTCTAGGCATTCTTTGACCAACTTTGAATTGATTGATACTGTTGATCGCTTTTAACACTAATTGACAATCAAATAAGATAGCTATTTCTGTATACTTCCAATAGTTCCTATCTATGTATATACGCTTCCTTTGATAGCGTAGATTTCTTCCTGTAGGGTAGGTGCCCATTGGTTCGGAGTATTTTGTTCTCGACCTTAACACTCCGATCCCTGTTCCTGGATTGTTTTTGGAACCACCAGTATACCAAGTTTTAGAAGCACAGTATTAAGTTATGGTATGGTCTTTTAAGTGCTAAGCAGATGTTTCTCTCTTCCAATTCTTTTTATTGCTCATTACTACATTGGGATATTTCTCAATGTTGTAAATTGAGCTTGTTGTTGGGTATGTCATCCACTAGGAGTTGGAGGTGTGGTATTTCCTTTTTGAGGATGCTCCAAACCTGGTGTTCGAGCTGACAAGTGAACCAAGCAACTGCTCCATTGGCAATCATGGGTCTTACTATCATGGTATACATTCAGCTCAAAATATCAGAGGCGCAGCCCAATTTATTTCCCGCTAATCTTCTTCATATCATGAAAGCCTTTGTGGCTGGTAATTAATTGTTTGCTGGTAATGTTCTTAATTTGCCTATTCCATATAAGTGTTCTGTCCAGAGTCATACTCAGATATTTGACTTCTTGTCATAGTTTGCTGGGTTGGAAGCATATTGTATAACAATAAAAATATATTAAATATTGTATTTTTTTGTAAAGTTATTTTAAACATTAAAATATTTGCTGTTAAGATAAAAATACATAGTATTTTTTGAGATAATTTCTCGATACTGTCACAAATGTTCGCCATTATCTTTGAAACCGTCCAAATTCGAAAATAATAAAAGCGATTGTACGAATTCTATGGATATCGAACGACGTCGTCGGCCAGATTTCGCAGTCGTCCTGAATAGCCGGCCACTCCGAGACGGCAATAACAGTAGTAGCGGCAGCAGTAACTCTTTTGTCGCCTCTTTTTTACCGATCTCCGGTCCTCGCTCTCTCAACCCTTTTCGCTTTTGTGTCGCCGATAAAGTCGGGCACAATGACGGGGCGATTTCGGCTTTTCTTCCCCAAATTGACGTCTAGCGATAATTTCCTAATGGCTGGTTCGCTGCCACTTCGCCTTTTTAATGTATCTGTCATTTTATTTTATTTTTTTTTTTCTTATTTCGACTTGCTTTTGATTCGTCTACCAACGTCTGTCAGGAGTTTAATTAAAATTCCATGCGAGCGGTTTTATTTACTGTAGATTGTATGAAAGGGAAAAGTCAACCACCGCGACCTTATAGATCTATTGTGTTTCCCTTTCTTGCGTTACAATTCATCATACACTCTGAGAGCTTTGAGAAAAACTAATATATGTGACTGTTTTACATCCATCACACCACCATTTTTTCTCCACCTCTGATATCATTCGCACAACAGTTTATGGCACGAATGGTTGTCGTCTCGGCGCACTGAGTCATGCGGTGTTCTGGTGTTTACCCACTTTCCTCACAGAATCTGCATTCGACGTTGTTTCTTAACTTCAATCTACTGAGGTGTTCATGCTCTATTAAAAATCCCCGTGAGAAGATTGTTCTTACTTAAATCAAGGAAAATTTTCGATTTTTATCAGTCATAAATCCTCAGAAGTTTCTTCGAGCGTCTTGGACTGTTGAAGAATTCCCATTCCAGGTTACGCATGGAGTCTTCCAAATTCTTGCTTTAAGTTTGTTTCCACTTCATTTGTTAATAATGAGATAGAATGTAGAACGTTTAGGAGAGTTATAAACCACAACCTGACAGATCTATTGTGTTCCCCTTTCTTAAGCTATAACGAGTTATAACTCATCATACAGTGTCAGGGCTTTAACAAAAGCCAGTATCTGAGACGTCTCTACAGAGGCCAGCTCTCCATCCTCGACATCAGCCGTACCAAAGTTACCAAAGTTTTTAAGCACGAACGGTCGTCGTCTCGGCGCACTCAGTGTTGTAAGGTGTTCTGGTGTTTCCCCACTTTCGCCACAGAATCTGCATTCGCCGTTGTTTCTCAACTTCAGCCTACTGAGGTGTTCATTGAGGATACAGTGTCTAACAGACTGTTAGAAACCCCGTTGCAATCCACAGATTATTTTTACTTTAATCAAGGATTTTTTTTTCTCAGCCGTTAGTTCGAGTGTTTTATACCGTTGGAGACCGTTGGTTCATTCGAAGTTACGGATGGAGTATTCCACGTTCTTCAGTTCCGCTTTCAGTTGGTTCCCGCTTGTAAAACAGAACGGTTCTGGTCCAGTGAGTGGAGTGTTCGCTGCTTTTCTAGCTAGATCATTTGCTTTTTGATTACCTTCTATCCCTTGGCGAGCAGGGACCCACAGTAGGAAGACTTTATTTTCTTTGCTTAATTTGTTGAGCTTCTCTAGACATTATTTTAATAATAATGAGGTATTTGGAAATAAAATAAAAACATACCTATATTTATTAAGAATATCTAGGAAATAGTGGGGTTACAGTCGGAAGGGTTTGACAAAGAATTAATACACTTTGTTAATTGTCAAGCTTTCGGAATTTATTCATTCCTTCCTCAGGACACTAAAATGGAAATACATGTTAGACAATTATTGCTCTAAACGTTAACAAGAAAAAACTTACTTAACGTGGTACAGAAGGTAGTGGTTTTACCTTTGATAAAATGTTTCAATTTAATAATAAATAATTTGCGTGGATTGCACTGCTAGTTTGGTGCATTGCCTTTTCTTGGATTATCCAAGCCGCATATTGTTTTTACTTTGGTTTTTCAATTGAGTCTCAATTATTAGTGTTGTTTGTTCTCCCCTCTACGGAGTGATATTGTAAGTTTTTATACCCCATTTAATTTATAAATTTTACTAATTTTTACGTAAAAGATTTTTGAGATTTTTATAAATCGACTTTTCGAACTTTTGCTTCACTGTAATCATTTTGGACAGATTTGTTGTTGTCATTAACTTTTTTACATGTAACCCCCTTTTTTAACCAATTGCAATGTACCTCTTTCTCTTATTTAAATTTTAGTACATCTTAATGTTTATATAATTGCATAGTGTATTTTTAAATTGTGCTCAATGTTTTTCTGGTTGCAGACATTTAGTGACATCTATTAGACTGTATATGTAAATGTATACGACCACCTATTTTTTCTCGTTGCACGAGTAAGGGTATTTCTTAAATGTTTTTTATAAGTGTGCGTGCCTTGATCACTCCACTTTTCTACATTACCACTCACACAATTATTACAGGAATATAATAATTGACATGCGGCAGCCCTGTTCGACATCCATAGATTAATTTTATATATAAGACTTTCGACAATTGACTGATGAAAGATGGATGTCACAGTTGTCGCCTGTCTGTTGCTTTGCGCTTTCACGCCTTAGATTGAGACGCAATTGAATCTTTTAATCGAACATCTCTTAATTATTCCAATGTTTTAAATAAATATCAGGCGGCTTAACCGCCCCATAACAGCCCTCTCCTTTTTTGTGGTTGGCTGGTCAGCGATGCTTCACGGTGGAGTTTTCAACACAAGCCAAGTTTTTTAATGTAGTTTTTTACGAAGGTCTTTTCTGTACCACGTTAAGTTAAGTTTTTTCTTCTTAACTTTTAGAGCAATAATTGTCTAACATGTATTTCCATTTTAGTGTCCTGAGGAAGGAATGAATAAATTCCGAAAGCTTGACAATTAGCAAAGTGTATTAATTCTTTGTCAAATCCTTCCGACTGCAACCCCACTAGTTCCTAGATTTTCTTTCTCACTAGTCAGTCGAGACTACTTTCTGTTATATATTTAATAATATTTGAGCTGTTTTTTAAACTCCTAAAACATCAAAATACTTTTTTAAATAATTTAAATAGGTACATCAATTATTATAATAAGCAACTGATTTTTAATTTAAGTAAATTAAAATGGAATTGATCATTTTGCCGATTATTTTTTTTTCCTAGGCATCGATCACCAGGATCATTAGCCATGTACAACTTGTTATTAATGTAATTACAGGGGATCCCCCTCAAAAGATCGATAACATAGGATAAGGTTTTCCAGATAGCAAAATGTTCTTTAAAGGAAGCTGATGTTTCATGTCCCAAAAGTCCATTGGAAAGCTGACCTATTAATAATAATTGCACATCCAGCATCAGTTTTTGTTTTGGAGCCATCAGTATAAATGGCAATTTTTTCGTTGTACTGGTCTAGTGTTTTGTGAAACTGTCATTGGTATATTTCCGACGACGTATCTTGACGTTTGAGTTTATTCAAGTAAAGATTTAAGTATAATAATCTGCCGATGATATTTTTGTGCATGTGTTAGCAAGTTGTGCTTGATTTGTGTAATTTTAAATTTTGGATTAGCTTGACTAATTTATGAAAATTACTTTTTAAATGACTATAAAATCCTATTTATTGAATTGATTTCCGCTTTATCAATATACATATTTTATGTATCATACGACAAATTGCATGCAATTAATTCCTTTAAAAATATAAACTGTCAATCTATTGAATGGAGAACGTATCTGTTCCCAAATACCATTTGCTAATATTGGCGTTTTCTCATACACGAAACATAACTTTTCCCCCTTTTATTTTTTCACTGAAGTATTCGATTCATTGCGACGCAAATTCCGCTATGAATACTGTCTTTTATATCTATTCAGTGGTTCCCTTCAAAAACCGAAATGGGATTATTTTTACACATGTCGATTTCGGGGAGATGTTTCCTCTCTATCTCAACAGGAGAGATGAGAGATGCAAACATGCAGTGTTGCCAGAATTTATGTCGCAAATCTAAATCATTTTATTTCTTATATTATTTAAAATAAGAAAATACAGTCTCCCTAGTTTTTTTGGTTTGGTCATTAAGCAAGCTAAGTGGTATAGTAACAAGTACCTACACGGAAAACAAAACAAAACAAAAAAATATGATCCTGATAGTCCCGTTATTCAATAATTTTTACTGATTAAAACCCGTCTCTTTCACTTCTCTAAATGAATATAACTACATATCTGTTTTTGTTTAAAATACAAAATATTCTTAATTTTTCATAACATTTTGAATAGGTGACAGTCTTACTAAAATACTTAGGATTATTAAACGGCTTCCTGTCTAGCAAGGTAATGAACTATAATGAAACACCAATTCTACTGAATTGCAGGAAATAATTCTTAAACTATGTTTTACACTTGATAACGGTCAGTGATCCTTCTGGTCGAAACGTTGTGTCAATCAAAATAAAGACAATGTACGTCCGAATTTATTTTAGTTTCATTCATATATTTTGATTTAGGTCGTTGTGGTCCGATAAGTCAGCATAGTTTGCAGTCTGATGCATGTCATGAAATTCTGATAAGTTCAGCATAGTTTTGCTGAACAATTCTGATTCAGTTATCAGCTGCGCAGGTACACATATGACGTGTTCTATTTTTAATTTCCTGACATATTCTATACTTTATACTACTTTAATTATAATATAAGATTTTCGGTTTATATCATTTCCAGTCTTCGTTATCTTGTCAATACTTTCCCTGACTTTGTAAGT